ATATGTTAGAGAAGCTTCTTGTTGCGCTTCTGAACTGCTCAGCGTTCACAACAAACCAGGTAGTACGCTAAACCGAAGAATTATTATACTTCATCCCAGTGACTACAAGTCTACTGTAGACTACAATATCGATCATGAGAGGCCCATATATGCATAAACGGACCACAGAAAAGGGATTTTACCGACGGAATGCTTCTATTTTAAGATAAACCTTCCTCTTGATCCCTATTTGAGGAGTTTTTGGGAGAAAAAGTAAAGATCTTTTGCCATTCTCATGATTATAATTTCCGTTTCCCTCTCTGCTTGTTAACCTCTCCGCTTCACTTTGTGTCGAATTTTGAAAGAATCGCACGTGAAAGTGAAAGAGCTAAGATTTTAATGTAACGGATCCATGGACGAGGAAAGTGTTTCACAGATGCTGGCACTGGCAGTTTCTATCTCTCTCTTCCAGTCTTCCTCCCCCACCCTTCAAGAATGCTCCGATTTAATCAGCTACTCCAAGTGTATAGTTTACAGGCACTACCAAATGATCCCTTAACCTACAGTCTTAACTATTCATTCCTTTTAACCCTTTAACTCCCAGATCAAACTTGTAACTCTCCTTACTGTCAACCATACAATTCTTATAATGTTAGTTCAGAGAATTAAGTATTGGGTCAAGTAATTATCCTCAAATTGATATTTTTATTTATTCTCATCGTATATCTAGTTGGTATTGTATTGATGTTGTAAGGAGAAATTCTCTGTTGGTCACTCATGGTAGTTAAAGGGTTAAGGACACCCATAGTGGGGTTGATTCAGGAATTTTTGAGAGGGAGGGGAGCAAACTTTGATTCCCAAAAGGCATTTCTCTCTGGATCTGCTATGCATATGTTGTGGTTCAACTTTATCCTTGGTTCAAATTTTATTTTCCTTTGTTTCAAACTCATTATCATACATTACAATACCCAAAAAACAAAAGAACATAAAATTTGAACCAAGGATAAAATTGAACCATGACACATACATGTATATGTATAGTGTACATATTGAGGTAGATTATTTTTATTTACCTTGTGTCTCTAGAACATTATTCGGGAGTGTGGAGGTCTTTCATGCCTTGTGACCCTTTTAACTCACCCTAAGAAGACCATCATCATCAAGGCTGTACAAGTGTTGTCCAACTTGGCCATGAATGAAAAAAATCAAGCTTGTTTAAAGGTATTACCCAGAGTTTTTGCTAAGAATAAGTAAATGCTCTCATACTTTGTTGTATTGATTCTTTAGGGAGGTTCTTTTGCCTGGTCTAAATTTTGCATTGATCATGACTGATAGGATGTTTTTCATGTTTGTTGTATGTTTGTTTGTTTTTTGTATACAAACATTTTGTTATTAATGGTGCCTTTTTTTGCAGGACAGTGTCTTTGAAATTATAAAGAACCTTGAATACTGTGATGTTCTTGATGATGATGATGTGATCACTGAGCATTTAAAACTAATGGTTAATTTGTCTGTGACAAATACGGCACATGAAGAGATCATGACAGGAGCACAAGCATTTTTCGATATCCTCTGCCGTTCTCACTCAGAAAAAATTCAGGTATAAGATATAAATGAAACATATTGTGAACTTCAAATCCCCAAATCAAGAAGCTCTTGATTGTTAAACAAATTCTCCTTGTCAGCACCTCATGAGATGTAGAGATAACAGTATGGAGAAGATGCACACTGATGTTAGGATGTGAAGGGCTAGAAACCCCTAGGTGTCTGTTATTCCCTCATACAAGAGAGGAAGCCAGAAAAAAAGGAAGAAAGAAAGAAATAAAATTCAACTGGCAAAGTACTAAGTAAATCATTTGTTATCATTAATGAAATAAAGTGTCAGTTGAGTAAATTAATATTGTGTTAACTGACTCTTTCACTCTATTTTTGTTTTTTTAGAAAGAAGTTTTGAGACTGTTGGTGAACTTGTCTTGTAACACAAATAATCTGGAAGGGTTACTGGGATTAAAGGTTTGTCAGAAGTAAAATCAAAAGTTGTTTTTTTAAACTTTCTTTACATATTGCACTGAAATTTTTGTCTCCATTTGCAGCCATTGCTGATTTTGCAGACATTCATGCTCACAGACAACCAAGATGACATTGTTCTTAGAGCTGTAACAATTGTGGCCAACTTACTTTCCAGCCCAGATGGTTACACAGAGGTAAATAATTTGAAGAAGTGATAATATTAAATAATTTCAACTTAGTAACTATGAAAGCAATCTTCACAATAATGAACACTACTTAAGCAGTAGTGAAAATAAGGCCCTGAAAAAAAATCAACTTAAGTTCTGAAGATTGAAAAACAAAACTGTATTGGCTATGATACTCATGTATATCGAATTATTAAAATTAAGTCAACCCTTTATTGACTGAGTGAGTGGGTGACTGACTGACTGAATGACTGACCAAATGACCGACAGATGATTAAGTGATTTAGTGACTGCCTGAGTGAATGAATTCTGACTGATTGACTGACTGATTGACTGACTGATTGACTGACTGATTGACTGACTGATTGACTGACTGATTGACTGACTGACTGACTGATTGACTAACTGATTGACTGAATTACTGACTGATTGACTAACTGATTGACTGAATGACTGACTGATTGACTCACTGATTGACAGACTGATTGACTGACTGACTGACTGACTGACTGATTGACTCACTGATTGACTGATTGACAGACTGGTTGACTGACTGACTGGGTGATTGAGTGACCAATTGACTGAATTACTGACTGATTGAGTGACTGATTAATCAACTGACCTGATGAACTGACTGACTAACTGACAGCACATATGGATGGATAGACAAATGCACTAATGAACTTACTAATTTACTGATTGTCTACAAAATGGAAATGGGTCAGGGACCAAAAAAATTAATTGATTGATTATTAGATACATTGATTAGGTTTGATCTTTTTTTTTTTGTAGCAACAACAAGCTGTCATCACGGAGCATCTAAATGTACTGTATGGAGAACTAATGCGACTTTTAGATCACACTGATGAGAACATTCAGTCACAAGCCAAGAGAGCACTCAGAAGTATATTTGCTTTCAGAATGATGTACACAACATGACAGATACAAGGATTTAAGTTTGGCTGGCTTAAAATCATGAGATGAAAAGAAGAAAATATTATTAAAATTGCATTTATTTAGTTTGTGGCCTCATAGAGCATTTATACATGAACAGTTACGACTGCTGTGAAAAGGAATTGTACCACAAGTTGACCATGAAATTGAGATTGCATTAACTGCATTGTCATTTGACGTGCATACAACTGTTTTTGTATTTCTTAACCGATGTCTAGAATGACAATTTTGGCTTATGCTGTAGGGTTCCAAGAGACACATGTACACATGTACCTTCAACTTGTCATGAATTTCCATCACTGTGGAGAAAAACTAATCAATATTAGTAAGGATGATCCTTATCTACATAATCATGGTCATCTGGGGGATAGTTTTTTTTTTTTTTTTTTTGAAAAATGAAAGAAAGAACCACTGTGACAATAAAAGAGAAAGATAATTAACAATGTCATAATTCATTATATATACCCAGGTGTCTTAACCTTTTAACTTCCAAGATCTGGTTGTTAATTCTACCCTCAAGCTGTTACACATTTCCTTGAAAATGTGTTGTGAGAATTTAGTGTTGGATCAAGATAACTTTAACCTGATAAGTCTGAGTATTAATTTTTCATTACCTGTTTGTTGGATTTTATGGGAAGTAACATGTTAATCTAATTCTGGAAGTAAGAGGGTTAACAAAAGTGGTTTTCACCATGGAGGAAGTAATTTTATAAAGAAACTGGTGCTGCGCTGATGGGAGAGTGTAACAAGGTAATTTAATATCATTAACTGAGTTAATAATATAAATTGGCCACTGTAAAGAGTTTTAAAGCTGACAATTTGAGTTTTAGCCCTTTGTTAGAGCGAAGCACTAAAGCTCAAAACGTCAGCTTTGATACTGGCCAATTTACGCAATCAACTCAGTTGAAAATACTGAATTACCATAGTTTTCACCATAGTTTATACCAGGTCATTTGATCACAGCAAATTAAAGCACCCATCTTTAGGGCCCAACTGTAAATTTTCCAGATTTACTCTGCTGCTGTGAGGTCTTGTTTCATTAAACCTTCTTTGCATGGGAATAATATTACGTACCCTGAGCTGGATGTTGCTGCGGCAAGTTTTACAACTTCTTGCATGATCTGTGATGGCTCCTTCTCTGCAAGCAGAATTCTTTCTTGGCGTTCATCCACTATGAAATTAAAGAAAAGTAAAACAAAAGTAAAATCAAACACTCCAAATTAAAAATCTCCAAAACTGTTTTGACTACTAAGAGCACAGGATCCATACTCAAAGGCATAATCTATAGGTCATTAACCTTGCCTAAGGATGTTCCCCCTTTTCCCTAGAATTCTGCTGATGTTAATGGTGATGAATCTCTCAAAAAAAGGTGTTGGGACTAATCTTCAAGGAAGCCAACAAAATTTTGATCCTTCAGAGTACATTTTTTCAAAGGGGACCCATGAAAAATCTGAGGTTTCAGATTCCTCCCATCTTTTCATGTGGTTGGGTTCAAAATGCGCATGAACATGAAACATCTTCACCAAACCCCCTTGTACAATAGGATGATAATCCTCAACCCTACCTCCTATGAGTGACCACAACAGAATTTCTCCTTACCACATCATTACAATATTGAGCAGACAAGTGATGAGAATAAGGAAATCTATCAATTAGGGGATAATTAGTTGATCCAATACCACATTCCCCAAACTAACATCATAAGAATTGTATGCCAGACAATAAGGAGAATTCCATGTAAGATCTTGGGAGTGAAAGGGTAACAGTTCCAATGACACACTAGTATTGAAACCTTTTGGAAAATCATAGACATGCCCTGGTGAATGTCAATACTTGCTGTTTAATTTTACCACCAATATAGCCTAGCAGTTACTACTTACTAAATGTTATAAGGAGTTCTGCCTGTTCAGATTGATTTTGTGATCCTGAAAATTCAACATATGGATTTTTAAACTTCAGCTGTGGAACATTCTCATAAAAGAACCGTCTGCAAGAGAGATAAAAAGGATAATTATCTTAACTTCGTATGACTAGCTTTGGGAAAAATTAATTAAACTGAGGTAACATTAAGCCTCATGAAATGTAAACATCTCTTGAAATCATGGCAATACGTCTTTATACCGGGCAAACGAACAAAGGGGGTAAGTTTCTAAAGAAACTGAGTCCAGGCAGTCAGACAGGTTTTTGAAAATACTCCGTGTCCGGCTGTCAGAAACTTCGCGGTGGATACCACTTACTTTGGTTTATAGGTCGACGCATTTTTTTTTAATCACTTACATCTATAAACAAACATCGAGTACTTTTAATACGTTTGGATGAGGTATTACGTGGGAGTTCGGTGAAAATTTCTCACTACCGGGCACGTTCTTAAATAGACTGGATCATAGGGAATACTAGATCAGAATTGTTTTCTAGATGTTTTACGTATGCACAAGCTCAGAAATTTCTTCTACTAAATGACCAAAGTGAGTTTTGAAACCGCCTAGCATTTCTAAACAACAAGACGTTTAACAGAAAATTGCAAGGGAAATTCTGACTAAATTTTTGTCTGCTGGACGCAGAATATATTCAAAACCCTGTCCGGCTGCCGGCCACTTCGAAATTTTAGTATATAGGTAGATAAAATTGTACTCACTCTGCGCCTCTTTGCTCAGGTTTTGGAATGTTAATCCTCATCTCTTTGACATCTTGATCTAAGACAACATTACACCTTTTCAAATGTTCGATTGTTCTCTGTACAGCATATCTGCCAATCTTACCGCTGTGAATGTTCATGTATTTCAACGCTTCGCGGTAGAGTTCAGGGCTCTTAGCGGCCATGTTGGATTTCTCCTCTATAATATTCAGCAGCATGCACTTCTCTTTGAATTTAACTTCATGTAAAACATATTTTCAGCTGAGTGACCGCTGAAGCATTGAGTGTTCCAAGATGGTGGAAGAGTTGTAGGAACAATATGGCGTGAATAATTTGACTTGTAGAGATCGAACTTTGGGAGAATTTAAGCGTCCAATATGCCGACCGGAAAGTTTCCATTTCGCCGCACCTTCGAATTCCTCAACTCTGGAAAGTTAATATTAAAATCGGATGTGAAGAACGTGCTGTTAAATTACACTACCAAACAAGAAAGTCTTGGCCTCAGAAATTTCATTTACAAAGATGTTCCTCAAATTCAGTACAAGAATCGTACTGTCCAGATTACGACGACGAGAAACAGATTGACCTATCCAGTGGTGCATGTATTTTTTGGTAGGTATCGAAAACTGTATGACATTATTTTATCACAGTTACATAAACAACTGCGACAGGAATTTACTGTAACCCTGTTACTCCTAAGGTCTGATTTTTTTATTTTTTCCTCTAGCTGCTATTCATTTCCTTGTAAATTATGTGGGAGAATTTGTTGTGAGGTCAAGAGAACAACTTCTGCCTTAAAGGGTTGAATGTTATCATTAAATGTTTGCTGGATGATGTATGGACATGATAGCTAGGGAGAAGTTATACGTTCATCACTTCAGGGGGTTCAAAGGCTAATAGTGACAGAATTACTACTCATAGAGGTCAAAGCATATATGATATATGTATACATTCCGGGAGCCCAATTTCAAGCCTACAGGGTATAGGATTTTGCTCAAAAGTGATATTAAGGCTGGCTTGCCAATGTTTACCCATTAAAATTTGTAACATTGAGGTGGACGGGGTAAACATGTGTCTCAGATGAACTGTCCTTTTACCTTAAAAACCTGAGGAGGGGTGTGGGGCTGTCAAGTTCTTTGCCTGCTAAATTCAAGAGGGTGGGGGAAGGGGATCAGTAGTGTAGCTTTTTACTCTAATATATGTATGTATTGCTTATTTTCTTCAGGTAATGGAAAAAAGGTGGCAATGGATGTGGAAAGTAAAACTGGGCCTGAGATTTTGGAGATGTTTGGTAAAGTGGCTGGAGCTACAGAAATGTAAGTAATGATACTAACATTCATTTCATTTATCTTAAAAAATGGACATTTCTTATTTGAACCTAAGGAGATTTCAGCTCGAAACAAAGCATGTGAATTTAAGGCATTTGATTATTTTTGTTATAACGTAGGGAGCAAAAAGACAGTGTAAAAGAAAAATATCCAGGCCGATTGAACCCTGCAAACTTTGGCCGGTTTGGGCATTGTTACTGTATCTGTCAGAAGCCAGGACAAAGGCCATGCACAGCTATTGTTCCACATCCTGAGGCAAAGAAGCCAAAATTCTGGCAACTCAAAGAAGATGCTTCTGCAGGATAACATATTATTGATCACTTATGATGAATGGGAACAGATATTTGTAATAAAATAACCATGTGAAAATGTTGTGAATTTCCTGCGTCCACATAAATAGATGACTTGTGAATAACTACAGGTACTTCTATGACTTCTGAGTGTATGACATGGTTCAAATTTTTGAGTGGTTTCATATTTTTCACACCAGTTTGTTCCTTTTTTAGTTCTTCTTATATTAAGGAAATATATTTCTGGAACAAAGGGAAATCAAATCTAACTGGTTTGAAAGATTTTATGAAACAACAAAATTTTGAAGCACAACATCTGCAAAAGCCTATGGAGTGATCAAACATTTTCAAAATTAAGTAATGACACTTTGTTCTTCAATTTCCAAAAAAAAGTATCTTCTTTTTAATTGTTTTGCGTTGGTAGGTTTTTACAAGGCATCTATACAGACTACTCCTATCCATTTAATTATGGAGTATCGTCTAACACTGTCACAAATATGGCAATATTTGATGCCAACACAGTGAGGCTATTTGTGTTTTTCACACCATTTTAATTGCACCAAAACACAACATGTGCTCTTGGATATCATTATATTCAGGGTATTCACATGATTTTATGCTAATTTGAAAATATTATCACAGCTTTTTAGTACACAGCTGCAAAAAAAAAACTCTGGTTATCTTCAACAATTTTAACTAATTTGACAAGATTACTTTTCTATAAAAATACAAAAACAACAACAATTAAAAACTAAACGGAAATGAAAGATGCATTAAATTCAGTTATTAACTTCTTTGAAAATATTTGTTACCCATATACAAAATTATCCCCTTTTAAAATATTTCCAAAGGAAGCTAATAATTTGCTATCTTCCTTGATGCTGCCGAATGTACTCCTCCTCTAGTTCCATCAGGTTTCTTTCAAGCATTTCAACTTCATCAAATTTCCGCTGTTGTTTTGCTTGAACAATATAACTTTTAATAATATCTATCTGCTGCAGCATGGGGTCTGGGGAAGAGCCTTGAGTAATGGGGACTGGGCCCCAACCATTTCCCATAACAGACTCTGGAGTTTGCTGGGCAGTCTTAAGTTTGCTTGAAGGCTCATTTCTATTGAGGTCTCCATGTCCTTGTTGTCGTACTTTTGCTGCTCGTAATCTTTCTTGCATGGCTCGTTCTCTTTTTTCTTTCTCTTCTGCTGCTTTTCTAGCCAAAGCATTTGCCCTTTCTTCTTGAAGTTTACTAATTTTGTCCACTGAAGGCAGATTAGGAAGTGTGAACATGTTTTCCTGTAAGTATCCTGTAGCAAAAGTTCTTATCCCTTTTTGGAGTTTCATTGTCTGATGACTTGGTGGTTTCTCAGCCTGAGTTCCAAGAGCAGCAATCTTTTTACTGCAAATAAGTGAAAGGAATAAACTTATGAAATCATAGTGGCAACATATTTATTATTAGAACACACTCAGAGGACTCCCCCAAATAAGTACTATGCACTTAGAATTTGTGTATAGTCAAACTATTATTTTCCACCCCCTCCTTCAAAAACATATTGGACCAATATCAGTATTTGAGAAACTGTGTGCCAACCCTTTCCCCTGACCCAACATTGGCCCAGCATTAACCCAACCTTGTTATCAGGTGAATATTGTTGGATTAAGGGAGGGGTAGGTGAGCAGTTGCTCAGATATTGAGCCTGGAGTGGTTTAGGACTGGATTTATAGTCTCCAGTCACAGAAAGCCAGCTTCCTACCTAAGGTATTCCAGGAACTCATACTCTCTTAACCATAATACAGTTGTCACTGACTTAGGTTATCAAAATTTCTTCAGTATCAACTCACCTAATGATGTCCACTGATTCATACATCCTCACTAATCTAGCACGCACTTCAGCAGCTTCTTGTAAATCATACTGAATATCACCTAAACTGTAGGTACAAACAAAGATGAAGATTCTAAACAAGACTAGGGATTGAACAGTCCTTCCCTTCAGCAAAGTCCACTCTGTAGGTTCAAAAAATATCAGTGAAAAAAAGAAATTGAAGTTAGCACACCTAGTTTTTGAGCAACTCACTCTCAGAGTTTCACCCAATATGCTAGTGTTTGTTTTTGTTTCTCTGACTTATTTATTAATTGTGCAACAACCTTTGTCAAAAAGGAGGGACTGCCCAAAGTCTAATTATAACAAAGTGATAAGTTAATTTTACAGTAATTTCATATCTGTTAGCCCTACTTCAGGCCTTCTTTAAATTGTATTGCATAATCTTTGCTTGGATTTTTTTTTTGATCCTTTGATTGTAGTTTATTTTTGATTGCAAATAATGTAATGAAACAAAAAAAAAAAAAACACTATTGTTAATGTCATTATTATGTTATTATTATCATCATTATTATCATCATTATAATTTTAAAATGAACTTCAAGGTTAAGAACTATTAAAAAAGTCTAGGCAAGTTTTAATGATACTCACTTAATTGAATCAGCCATTTTGGTGTACGTGGGTTGTAATAATTCTGCCTCTGCCATAGAGCTCTTCATTTTCTGTAAGAGAAGAAGTCGTGGTCATGGTTATAACATTTCAATAAGAGAGTGGTTCAGTGGACACTGTGTTTAAAATTCGTTAAACCAAAAAAAAAAATAATAATAACTAAACAACAATAATGATAAATGGTAATAGTGTAAATTAGAATTGACATATATTATTATTTTGCCGGCACGGAGAGGTGAACTAGGTTCTAGTGTAGTACGCATGGGACCTTGGTTAGGGGGTTTGAAATATTGACCGGTTAGTTATGTGTGTCATTCTACAGTCGGCCTTGCCGCGTCATCTTGCTTTGTTTAGTTTAGTTTTCACTTACTCTGTTAGCCTTAATCACATTACTATCCTTAGTGGTCCCTATCATTCGAAGCTATTTTATGTAACATCTTGTTTTCCACTAATATTTAAGTTATTAGGCTTCATTTTATGGGTAATGGGGTTACACGGTCTCTATTTTTCCAACAGTTGGTTTTTTCAGGTTTACGTGTCTGGCTGTGGCATGTTCTTAGAATTACTGTAAAGTGGAGTTTTTTCACATGAGTTAATAAAGTGTATCATGGGCCTGGCTGACCAACACGCCCATGCCTCCAAGTGTTACTTTGTGTATTTGGTTGTATAGTGGAGGCAAAATTAACAATTATAGTTAATGAAAAAATTGATGAAAATCAAATGGGGGAATATGAAAGACCAGCAATACAGAGATGGATCAAGAGGGTTGAAGGAAGTAAGAGCAAAAAATAAAATTAATTTTTACTCCTCCCTGTATAATTAAACTTACATTCACAATCATTAAAAAAACATTAGTCTCAAAATATATAAGAAATATGCAAAAAGTAAAAAGATTGAAGATTATCTTTGCAAATTAGCCTTTACATACACTGTAAGAGAAATGATATTTTTTCATATGATTTAATTCATCAATTAAAATTTATATGAATAACTCAACCTCTAGCAATGCTTATTATTACCTCATATAATTGAACAACAGGGGGCTTTGTTTTCTTTTCCTTTTCTTGTCGATCATATCTGAGAGAAAAAACAAACAAAATTTACATTTTAAGGCCTGAAATAAATATTATAAAAAAAAAATTGTTAATCACCTTTAAATGCCAAAGTGGTGGAAAATGGTTGCCAGGAGAAAAGTTGTAGTCACCAATTTAAAGACTGCATCTGTTTGAACCTTAAGTACCACAAATTTTGGCTCTGCTTCACTGTATGATAAATGAATTAACTTTTTGAGATTCTGCATCAGATCAATAGGAAGGAAGTGCCTCCCACAGATTAGTTTTCTTGACAAGTTAAAGCTGGTTTGAATTTTCACATGAGTATAGAAGCAATGACAAAAAAAGTAAACGCCAATATGTGAAAAAGTTGCAAAAAGATAGTCTTGGAGGAATGTATAAGAGAATGGTTTGCTGCTGAGTATCATGAACTAGCCATTGACTTTTTTTTGCACTTTTTAAGCATGGAAAATGGTAAAGTACAACTGTAACTTACCTCTCCAAACAATCCATACAGGCTTGACATGCACGAATACCAGCTTCATCAGAATCATCTTTGGAGTGCCCCTTTAATCTCCTGGGAAGGCTTGAGCCTGTCTGGTCCAGTTTTAACACAGAAACTATAATAAATGATAATATTAACATATGTAACATAGTCCTGAAGCAAAAAGTTCTTTAAAAGTAACATGTTTGGTTAATTCGACATTAATGTGATGTAGAATATTAAAAAAAAAAAATAGAAAAAAAGCAAAAAGGTAACTAATTGAAATAAAACCAATGCATTGTTACACAGACTGCATGCACAGGGCTCATAATAACAGCAATGGCAAATTTTCAAGTCAAACAAAAGGCTTTGTTCACTCAACTCCTGGGATGGCCAGCCACTAGTGTCTACAATTAGATAAAGTGTTTGAAATTGGACACTAATGTCTGAGATCAGACTCTACAGTGTCTTAAATCAGGTATTAGTGTTTAAAATCAGATGCTAGTATCTAAAATTGGACACTAATGTCTAAAATCAGATGCATTGGCATCTAATGTCAGGCATTAGTGTCTAGAATCAGACACAAGTGTCTAACACCAGGCATTAGTGTCTAAATTTGGACACTAGTGTCTTAATTCAGACAATAGCATCTAAAAATTGGACACTAGAGTCTAAAATCATACACTGATGTTAAGTGAGTTATTGCAAGAGTGAGTTGAATGAGTCATTGCATATTTGTATGGCCAAACTTGGGTGGTGTCTTAACGTTTTGATGGTACATTTACCATATGAGTCTTGTACACAAATATTGTGCACCTATATGTATGAACAGACACACAATCTGCCAATTAGATAACAGAAAACAAAAAATGGATTCTGTCCTATAGCAGGACGTGAAATTGCACCTAATACGGGTGCCAGTGCAACTAAATTTTTCACTTTAGCAACCAAATCCTGAAAAGTAGTCAAGTAGGAGTTAAAGGGTTAAACAAAACAGATAGAGCTGGGAGACATTCACAAACAAGCCTCTAAAAAAAGACCATCATTAAGCATTTGTAAATAAATAGTTTAATAATTGTGGAAATTAACACTTCTATACAATAAAGCAATTTTTACAATCTTATTATTTTACTCATATATAAACTGAAAATTTAACTTAGCCATTTAATATACCAGAATGCTTTAACATGAGTGGGACAGGAGGGGGGGCCTCCCTTAGGATTGAGATCTCCCTTACCAACCCATCCCCAAAACTATAAGCTTGAATCTCAATGTTGCCCTTAGCTTTGCTAAATCAGCACAAAAACCCATTGAAGAAAAACTGAATTTTCAACAATTATTAACACTGTTTAAATGTTATATAGAAGGTAAAAACTTATGATTTCACTGTAATATGAAAAAAAAGAGGTGATTCAGCACTGAAAAAAAGAAATATAAAAGAAAGCCAAAAGGTTAAAGGTCAAATCGCCAACTAGAATGCTTCATCATAACCATACCTAGAGATATCATGAATTTAAAAGATTTGCAAATTAAGATAAATCTGCAGCAAACTTCCTTGTTAAGTTTGTTTCCAAAACACAGCACATGCATCTCCATCGAAAACTAGGTACCATCTTGGATTTAGGTGAGCTTGAATGTTTTATATCATCCATTCTAGTGTCCACTTAGTAGAACTTTATAGAACTTAATTTTGGAGGGTCTATCTAGAACTCTGAAAGCATAAAAAAAAAGTTTTTTTTTTGTCTATAAAAATGGCGACCAACTTTTTTTGAATTGGCTACCACTTTGAAAAATTTAGGAGCCCAGTGGCTATCAGAAAGAAAAATTAATTTCATGCCCTGTATAGGCTCCATCACCTTTGCTGATTGTGGTTGTAAAGCACTGATTGGCAAAAATGAATTTACTTAAGACAATTGTGTGTTTTCCTTCATGCTATAAATCAATCATGTCTGACAGAACAACTTAAGTTAGTATACTTTAAGCATAGTTTCTTACCAGAAAAAGAAACAGACACAAACACTGAGCACTTTGCACACATTATTCCCCCACACAGCCTACAGTGATGCCTACGTCGAGCCACGTTAAACTGCCTCTTGCAAAGAGGGCAAAACTTCACTTCACTGTCAGCAATCCATGGCACCAGACTTCTCTCTAAAGCTGTAAAGGAAATATTAGGTTGGCATTTAAGACTGTATGGATAAACACTAGGTAACAAAGGGCCTTATTTGGGAAATACAGGTCTATTATTACAGACTGGAATGACAGGTCATGGTTCTAAAACTTATGAGCTGAAAACTAAGAATGGTCTCATCCAGAGTAAATAATCACAAGACTAATAACACACAACCAGCCGAAAAATTTCAAGAATTCAGCCCCACTCTAACAGCTTAGTGTATGAATGACCGAGTCATTCACAAACCAGGTAATAACGATGGAGAGTAAATTCATAACAATAAAAAGACAAACACAATGTTAATGGCACTATTAACCATTTAACTCCCATGAGTGACCAAGACAGAATTTCTCCTTACAATACCAACACAATATCAACCAGAGAAGTGATGAGAATGAAGAAAATTATCAATTTGGGGATACTTAGTTGATCCAATACTAAATTCTCTGAACTAACATTATAAGAATTGTATGGTTGACAGTGAGGAGAATTATAAATTTGATCTGGGAATTAAAGGGTTAAATGCTAAATTAACCCTTTGAAATTTTGTTTTTTTGTCTGCACAGAGAAATGCACAGAAAACAGTATGGATAATATACATACTGATATTAGGATGTAAAGAGTTAAGGAGACAGATACCAGTACTCACATTTTCTTCCTGGTCTTGTGGGTAATGCAGGTGAATCTTTAACAGTAACTCCTGACCTTAAAAGCTAAAATCATGATAAATTCATACTTAAAAAGAAGACGCATTCAGACTCATTAGTTAACAAAAGTTACCGGCTAAAAATTCTCAGCCAAGAAAATAAACTTTGGTCAGATAACTTTGCACACAAGGCAAGTGGTTCACACCAGCCACAGCTGTACCAGATTGGGTTGAATGATGTGCTACAGGAGTAATGAAACAGTCATAAATCGTTCCCACACTACGATCCCCATTAGTCCTTAAACTTCCAGAAGTGATTAACATGTAACTTCTCCCAATAACATCCATACATTACCCAGTCAACAGGTAATGAGAATACACAAACCTATCAGGTAGAAGTCCTTATCTTGACCTAATACAAAATTCTCATAACCCATTTAGAAGGAAATATGTAGGAGCTAGAAGGGAGAATTAACAATCAGATCTTGGGAGTTTAAGGGTTAATGCCTATCCTTATCAATATGTGAATACCAGTCTGCCAGTATACAAAAAGTTGCAATAGAATAAGTAACTTCGAATAAGGAGTGCAGAAAGTCTTAGCTGTGATTTACCCTATTAAAAAATCCTAGGTAAGCTTTTGCAAACCGTTAACCCTTTAACTCTCATAAGAGACCAAGACAGAATTTCTCCTTACAATATCAATACAATATCAAGCAGAAAGTGATGAGAATAAAGAGAAGATTATTAGCTGATCCAAAAAAAAAATCTACATAGCTATATCACAAGAATTGTGTGGCAGATAGTAAGGAGAATTACAAATTAGATCCAGGAGTTAAAAGGTTAACATCCACAGTGATGACTTTATTCCAAAAAGACTATGTACATAATTACCAAATTGACCATTGCCAAGCAAATACACATACCTTCTCCAGTCTGATAAGTATTTTATTAGTTTCAACAACAAATCTGTCAATCTCTGCATCTCGTCTTTCCCTAAATTCTCTAAATCTGCTTCTTGAGGCTCCTGTGTTTGAGAGGCAAAAAGAAATCTGTTATTACTGATAATAAAATTGATGATGAGTTTTTCCCCTTCAATTAAACTGTTCACACCCTAACATCAGTATGCATATTCTCCATACTGCTCTCTACACATCACCTAAGGTGCTGACAGGAATCAATTTAATAGTCAGGAACATCTTTAGTTGGTGACCATAACTGTTAGTCAAGTTAGCAGGTAATTTAGTGTTAACAATAGGGTTGAAAATGTAAATTGGCCACTGTAAAGAGTAAACAAGCTGATGTTTCAAGAGTTAGCCCTTTGTCAGAGTGATCAGCAAAGGGCTTATGCTCAAAACATCAGCTTGTTTACTCTTTACAGTGGCCAATTTACGTTTTCAACTCAAATGTTCACACTAAATTACCTGCTATACTTTCTCACCGATGCAGTTTCTTTAGAAAATTACCCCCTTTACTCTAGTTACCTTGATGACTTCCACTTGGATGTGACATGGTGAGGAGAAATTAGATACTTGTCACTCTTATGGGTCAAAGGCCAAAGGCCCTGGCACAAGGCGCAAAGGCCACAAGTTGAAGAGCAAAACAAAATGAAGATCTACATAATTGTATGAAATTCCCGCAAAAAATTAAGAACCGACAACAGAGACAGTTTACAGTCTCAGCAAGCCGTACTCCACAAGAGTGTGTAGAGAAAGGCAAATCATGAAACGTTACAGAAATTGCTTAACTTCAAACAACTCCAAAGAAATAATGATGATAAAAATGACCATAACAACGATTAAATGTTTAAAAAAGCCAAATAGTAATTAATTAAAAAATAATCAAGGTGTATAAGTGTAAAATTGCTGCATTCTACAAGCGTGTGAATGATTCTCAGTCGCATCCATGTAGTTTGATGGAAAAAATGTAATGCCCAGAAAAAGAGCATGAAATGCGCAAGTCTTAAGAAACCATCCTATTGAAGCAGATAAATTGTGCTGTCGAAATTGGGGTATTCTGCCAAAAATATCGAAACCGGCATCTCTTGAAATAACCGAGCAACAAGGGTAAATATTCGATTGAAGAATCATGGATGAAACATCGTGTTGACATAGGACGTCCACAAATTACCCGCAGGCAGGAAAAACTTTGAGGGAAATGCTCAACGAATGACAATATTGCAAAGCTTGCTTCATCGTGTAGACAACAAACAGTGAAAGTTAAAACGTATTCAGCTGATATTGTATAAGAATTATTCTCACCGAAATCTTGCTGGTCCCAGAGAAACGGATCGACCCCTCTGCTTACAGGATTTTCAACAACACCATCTACAGAATCTACGGTAGCCCCGTCTGGTTCAGAACTCTCTATTTTGTTTATAATTTTTCTCTTCGCTTTGCCAAATGCCTCTCGCATTCGGCGAAGTGTGTCCTTGTCATCGGAATGACTCTCCTCGAAATGTCTTTGCAAAACCGAAGCATTTCCCAAATCCTTCATACATATTGGGCAAATGAAACCCTCCTTGATATCGTCGTTCTCCATTGCTCACGTGTTAATTAACAATCGAGCGACTCAGTTGTCCGCATTTGTGCTAATCATGTCCAAAAACCATAACATCTGCCGCCATGTTGAGACCACAAATTCTTGTACCGCAGAGAGTTCTGGGTAAGGGGTATGGCCCCACCCACAAATAGGGGTTGTAGGGCTAATCGCCGTGGGGTCAAGAAATGATATGTTCTGTGGGAGGGGGCTGGAAATCAAGAGGCGAGCGTGTTAAGAGGAATGATTTGCAACAGCAGCTCGAGAAGTGATTGATATGACGACCCCTTGCACGCTAAAACGGTGTGACGAAGCACTGTAGTAATAAAGAAAACGACTTTTCAAAACTCCTGGAAAAAAATTTGTTTTACTTCACACTAATTACAAAATACAAGCTTTGCATTGTTGACCTGAACCTAAGGGACAAGTAATTATTAATGGCCGAGGGGGAGGGGTGGAGGATTTTAAGAGACACAATCAAAATCCTCCCACCCACCCTCCCAGGTGATCAATAGTAACCTGTCTCTAACTTGTTTCAGAACCATAGTCTATGTAGCAGAACAATCCTGTTCACGGATATGTTAAAAGCAGTTTTTGCTTCTTATTTTGAAAGGGCCGCTCGTTACTCATCGATCTTTTTCAATTCCGTGGTACTTGATTGCTGTTTATTCACTGGATATTCCGAAATGTTAGAAAGTGATGAGATCTACAAGATTTCCTTTTGGCTGTGTCATGTGTTCAGGGAAGAAAGACACCAATGTATCAAACAACTGCAACAAGGAAACAAAAAAAAATTAATGCTTGGCTTAAAGCAGCTACCACTTTTCTTGTTCAGTTAATCGTGGAAGAAATGTACAGCGTGAGAGCGAAAAATGACCGCGCAAAAGGCTGAGAAACCTCCACCGTTTCCGCTGTACGCTCGGCATTTAACACTCACTTTTTATCTCCATTGCCAAAGACTAAGTTTAGAACACCTAATGTAATTATATCACCCACAATACAGGTTACATATCAAAGATCATTCGTGAAACATGTGTGGAAATGTACACTATGTTTGAGTAACAACTACCTGAGTTCTTCCAGCAAAACCGTCATTTAATGGCGGCGATAGAGAGTCTGAGGATTTAAGAGAAGACAAAGAACATCAGGCAATGACAGATAAGCACAACGAGGAACGCACGAACAAATAGTCAGATAGCAGACATACAGGCACTTCGTTCTGAAAAAGGGCTAACACTCGAAACGTTAGCTTTAGCAACTCTTTATATGATGGCCAATTTACATTATCAATTATGAAACATAACTATGAAAGATAACTCACCTGCGTCAGTTTCCATTCGATCTTGTGTGGAGACTGACTGAGAAAATAGACTGGATGCAATAAGACGAAACTGTAAACAAAAGAAAGGAATGCTTACCAACTCCAACCATTCAACACGACATACCTTATTTAAGCGATTTGTAAATCTACTATTAAGAGGGAATTTTAAGTTCTCGTCCAGGGAAACACAAGAGCACTTGCAGATAACCCACAGTGCGCTTTAGTCTTCTGACGCGTAAATTAGTTAGAAGCTCGTAATCATTCACTGATCGACAATATTATGCTCGTTTCGGGGAAAAAAAAAAAAAAAAAAAAGAGAGAGAAAAAGAAAAGGAAAAAAAGAAAAGAAACGGGGGCTGATGGGAGAAGGGAAAACTAACACTGGGTAACTTAGCTCCTTAACGTTTAGTATTTTATGGCTTTCATCACCTCCTGACTCTCCTCCGGATCATCATGGGCGACTGTCTCCGAGAGCTCGTGCTAGGGAGAAAAAAGCAGAGTGTGACTCAAATTTGAAAGAGAGAGTAAGATTCTTCTTGGAGGTGTGGGGCGGGGATAAGCCCAGTCCCAAGGAGCGCGGGCTTATTTCCAGAACAACGGTTGACAATCGAGCTTTGGGCGGGGTAGAACAACGCGTCTTGTTTCTCGCGAGGCGCGTATTGAATTATGCCAAACTCGTCTTCTCTTTTGTTTCTTGCGAAGCGTAATCCGGCTTTTTGTAAACCAGTCTCGTCTCTCGCGTAGCGCGTTTTGGTACACGCAAGACATCTATGATTGCTCACGGGGCGCGTCTTGAATTTTGCCTGAAGTGTCTTGTTACTCACATGACGCTTTTTGTTTCTTATGAAGCGCACCCTGTTTCTCGCGAGATGCGACTTGCTTTTCACAAGAAATGTCCTCTTCACTCAATGTGTGTTTGGCGGTTTCTCGCGAGTAGAGTCCTCTTCTCTTGCAAGGCGCATATTCCGTATTGTTTTCTGAATCACGTGTTTCTCGCGAGACGCGCTCTGTTTCTCGCTTGTTGTGCATTTCATTTTGCGAGAAGTAAATTTATCTGAAGTAGTGCGTTTGGTTTCTCGCAAGACGTAAAATTTTTCACGCAAGGTTGTCTAGCTCCTCACGAGACGTGTCACGTTTCTCTCGAGAAGCATTCTGTTTCACTCAGGACCCTTACTCCTTCTCACGGGAGAGATTCGCCAGTATCTGTGCAAGATACAAGTTAGGGGGAATTTAGAAATTTAATAGGTACCTGCAGATAACGAAGAGCTTCGTAAGGGTCACGAGCAGCCATCTCCTGAAACCTGAGAAGGAAAAACAAATAATAAGAGTGTCGTAAAGGAGGAATTTTTTGTGGCTTTACGCGTTCGGGTCGGGCGGGTCCAATACATGTTGAAAGGATGAAAAAGTAAAGCCGACCAGTTAAATAAAAAGGATGCGGGATTAATGATACAAATTGGCAGTTAAAAAAAGGGGAAAAGCAATAAGTGGTAACAGTACCTTTGTTTACGAATTAAGTATCGACATCTTCTTAATAAGTGTTCTCTTGAAGGTCTTGACAACTACAAATAAACGGGAAATAAAATCAATGGACGGTATTAACAAGGCTAAACATTGATAGCCGCGTACCAAGTTGAACACTTTTTTTGGGGTCACGCAACGCTACTAAATTTTGACAAGGTAATTGCATGTTCTCGCGCGTAATCAGCGCATTCAATTCCGTTACGTAAATGAATTTTGAAACCCTTGAAAAGTTTAAAAGTGTTTGTTACTCTCAGGTTGCAACAGAAAAATTTGACAACTCACTCACATCCAAATTGTAAAATAATGTCACACAAAGTAACATGCGCTGGGGTACTACGTGACAAACCCGGATCAGGCTAAGGGGTAACCTAGTTTCCTTGGCAGTCATTCTCTGGGATGTAGCGCAAGATGAGGGGGCGTTGCGTGACATCCGAGAGAACAGCTGCGAAGGAGACTAAGAGTAAACGAAATAAACAGATAGACAGTTAAAATTTTGAATCAAAGTCTGATTACCTTCAGCGACCAGAAGTCATCGAGTCTCATCTTGGGTATGCTGGATTTTCCAGGATTGCCTCCAAAAAGGTAATGTACTTTATGAATATCATCATACACCAACTGATGTGCGAACCGAGGGCAAGGCTCTACATTCTGCATCTTGGTCCAGTACTGCTGACCCATGTTCTCATTCTTGTAAACACAAGACCTACCAGAAAAATAGTCATTAGAAGGATCCATAAGTTGTAAACTACAGATTAACTTTGTGTGTACAGCTGTTGAATTAGCAGAAATCGGACAGAACCTTAAGAAATCAAAAGGAACCGTTCGAAATCAGACGCTAACGTCCGCAATTAACTGTAAGCGTCCCAACTCGACACCAAGCGCCTGAAATTAGTCGAACTGTCCGTCTGAAACCGGACACAATTACCCGAAATAAAACGACACTGTCCGAAAAAAAAAGAAACAGGACCTAAAATCAGACAAACTGTCAAAAATCGGAGCTCGTTTGGGTGGCGAAGGTTATTGTCAATTTTCCACGTTTCAAAATACTTACCACGACTTTCGTTCCATATCGTATACCCAAAAAGAATTCCTGACTGTTTCTTCACGTTTTTCCTTGTCCTTACTGAGACCCTAAAGAGATGAACGAACCCATCAAATTACAGCTCTTCAAACTTGATGTAACATCCAGTCCACCGTGCAAACAAAAACAAGGGCTCCAAAAAGCTCCTGTACAGTTGCAACTAATAAAAAGCACACAACGTTTTGTTGCGAA